CCCTTTTTCTCCCCTCACCCTTTCTCCCTCCCTCTCCCCCTCCACCCCTCAATCTCCCTCTCTTCCTCCTACCCTCTCTCCCTATCCCTTGCTCTCCTTCACGCGCTCTCTCTCCCTCTTACTCACACACTCCCTCTCCCTCCCTCTCTCTCCCTCCCTCTCTCTCCGGCGCTCTCTCCCTCTCTCTCCCTCTCCCTAACTCTCGCTCTCCTTCCCTCCCCCTCCTCTCTCCCTCTCCTTCACACTTTCCCTCTCCCTCAGGCACTCCCTTTCACTCAAACACTTCCTCTCCCTCTCCCTCTCCATTGCTCTCTCCCTCTCCCTAACTCTCCCACTGCTTCCCTCCTCCTCCTCTATCCCACTCCCTCCTTCCCTCTCCCTCTCTACCTCCCGCCCTCTCTCCCTCCCTTTCTCTCCCTCCTCCTCTCACTCTCTCTCTTCCTTACACACTCCCTCTCCCTTACTCTCGCTCTCCTGCCTTCCCCCTCCCCTCTCCAGTTCCCTCCCCCTCCCTCCCTATATCCCTGTCCCTCACACACTCCCTCTCCCTCTCCGTTTCTGTCCCGAACTCTCCTTCTGCTTCCTTCCTCTCTCCCACTCCCTCCTTCCCTCTCCCTCCCTTCATCCCTCCCCCTCTCCCTCCCTTTCTCTCCCTCTCCCTCTCCATCCAGTCGCCCTTGGGCAATACCTTGGGTCAGAGCTGAAATCACGAGGAGAGTGGATGTGGGTCCAAACATCTTCGCGGCCTGGGTTCATGAGAGGAGACTCAATCTGAAAAAGATAATGACAGGATCGAGTGAACAATCTGGAGACTGGAGTGTCCGAGGGAGCCAGGTCCAGAGGGCGATTCTAACAGGACCATCTGAGGCAGAGGCACATCTCACTCTGAAAAACAGGAGAGGCAAACAGGAACTCACGGTGAAAATCTCAACCACAGGATCATTTCTTAAAGGGTGTTCAAACAAAGCAGAGACACAGAAAGAGAGCGAAGGAGGTAGTGAGACAGAGAGAGTGAGGGAGAGGGAGGTGGAGAAGTGTAGCGAAGGAATTCCTGAGCTCAGGACCCCAGGCAGCTGAAGGCAGGGACCCCAATGGCCAAGCAATGGGAATCGGGGGATACTCAAGATGCCAGGATTGGAGGGGGTACAGAGATAGGGAGGGGATGTAGGGGCTGGCGGAGGCTACAGTGATAGGGAGGGGTGTAGGGGCTGGAGGAGGTTACAGAGATAGGGAGGGGTGTAGGGGGTGGAGGGAGTTACAGTGATAGGGAGGGGTGTAGGTGCTGGAGGGGGTGACAGAGATAAGGAGAGGGTATAGGGGCTGGAGGAGGTTACAGAGATAGGGAGGGGGTGTAGGGGCTGGAGGAGCTTACAGAGATAGGGAGGGGGTGTAAGGGCTGGGTGAGTTTACAGAGATGGGGGGGTGTAGGGGCTGGAGGAGGTCACAGAGATAGGGAGGGGGTGTAGGGGATGGAGGAGGTTAAAGAGATAGGGAGGGGGTGTAGGGGCTGGAGGAGGTTACAGAGATAGGGAGGGGGTGTAGGGGATGGAGGAGGTTACAGTGATAGGGAGGGGGTGCAGGGGATGGAGGGGGTTACAGAGATAGGGAGGGGGTGTAGGGGATGGAGGAGGTTACAGAGATAGGGAGGGGGTATAGGGGCTGGAGGAGGTTACAAAGGAAAAACCACAAGAGGTCTGAGTAGCAGTTGGCCTTTCAGCCCATTGAGTGTGCTCTATTATTCAATGAGATTGTGGCTAATCTGATTATCCTCAATGTGATTTTCCTGCCTTTTCCCAATAATCCTCAACTCCCTTCCTGATTAAAATTCCCTCCGTCTCAGCCTTGAATATTCTCAATGACCCAGACCGACAGCCCCTCTGCGGTGAAGAATTCCACAGATTCACTCCTCTCGGAGAGAAGAAATTCCTCCTCATCTCTATCTACAATGTGCCCCTTGCTCCAAAGTGACTCCCTTTTGTCTCAGACTCTCCCAGGTAGGGAAACAATCTCTCCACATCTCCCCTGTCCCATCCCCACCCCCACCCCCACAAGAATCTTGTATATTTCAATCAGGTCTCCTCTCTTTCTTCTGAATACAGACTCAACCTCTTCAGCCTCTCCTCATAAGACACCCCTGGGATCAGTCAAGAAAGTAAACTGAGGCCACATGAGCAAGCAATGTAAAATCTGACACTAAGCGCTTCTATTCAAAATAGAGATTCTTTCAATAAGTCTCTGGATGGCAAACATTACAAAAGCAGAATCACAATTCTCCTCCAAGTCACTAATTCTATGTTGTAAATAAGTGTGGTCCCAGCACTGATCCCTGTGGCTCTCCATTAGTTATAGGCTGACATCCTGAAAATGTGCCATTTTTTCCCCAACACTGTTTTCTACAAGCCAGCCAATCCTCGATCTAACACCATGGCCCCTTATCTTATTAGGCAGCCTGATGCATGGTACCTTGGCAAACACCTTCTGAAAATTCAACATGATAGTCCAGTTGTTCCCCTTTATCTAACCTGCTCGTTTCCACCTCAAAGAGTTCAAGTTCATTTTGCAGGCTTGACTTCCCCTTCATGAAGCCACACTGACTCTTCTTAATTGTATAATATATTTCTAGACGTTCTGCTATTACATCCTTTGTAATAGACACGAACATTTCCCCAATAACAGATGCTAAGTAACCTATTCTGTGTCTTCCCTTTTCATATAAAGGTGATACATTGGCAGCTTTCCAATCCTCTGGGACTTTTCCAGAATCTAGGGATTCCTGGAAGATTACTACAAGTGCATCCACTATCTCTGTAGCTACTTCCCTTAATATCTTGGGACAGGGGCTTATCTGTCTTTAACTCCATTAGTTTCCCAAGCACTAGTTATAGAGTCATTGAAGCCATGCAGAACGGAAGCAGAATCTTCGGTCAAACCAGGCTGTGCTGACCATAATCCCAAACTAAACTAGCCCCACCTGCCTGCTCCTGGCCCATATTCCTCCAAACCTTTCCTATTCATGTCCTTATGTCTCTTAAACAGTGTAACTGTACCTGCATCCACCACTTACAGTCACAGAGTCATAGAGATGTACAGCACAGATACAGACCTTTCAGTCCGGTTCATCTACGCCAGTCAGATATCCTAAATAAATCCAATCCCATTTCCCAGCCTTTGGCCCATATCCCTCTAAACCCTTCCTATCTATGTCCCCATCCAGATGCCTTTTAAATGTTGTAATTGTACCAGCCTCCACCACTTCCTCTGCCAGTTCGTTCCATTCACGCACCACCCTCTGTGTGAAAAATTTGCTCCTCAGGTCCCTTTTAAATCTTTCCCCTCTCACCTTAAACGTATGTCCTTTAATTTTGGGCTCCCCTACCCTGCGGAAAAAGACCATGTCTATTTACCCTATCCATGCCCCTCATGATTTTATAAACCTCTATAAGGTCACCCCCTCAGCCTGCGACGCTCCAGGGAAAATAGCCCCGGCCTATTCAGCCTCTCCCTGTAGCTCAAACCCTCCAATCCCGGCAACATCCTTGTAAATCTTTTCTGAACCCTTTCAAGTTTCAAAAAAAATCCTAAATTAACCTAGTCCCATTTGCCAGCATTTGGCCCATATCCCTCCAAACCCTTCCTATCCATGTCCTTATCAAAATGTCTTTTAAACGCTGTAACTGTACCCACATCCACCACTTCCTCAGGAAGTTCATTCCGCACACAAACAACCCTCTGTGTAAAAAAATTGCCCCAGTGTCTTTTTTAAAATCTTTCTCCTCTCTCTTTAAACATGTGTCCCCCAGTCTTGTAATTCCCCACCCTAGGGAAAAGATAGCTACCAGTGACTTTATCTATACCTCTCATGATTTTATAAGCTTCCATAAGATCACCTAAACCTCCTACGTCCCAGCCTATCCAGCCTCCTTTTATAACTCAAACCCTCCATTCGCGGCAACATTCTGGCAAATCTCTTCTGAGCCCTCTCCAGTTTAATAATATCCTTCCTATAACAGGGTGATCAGAACTGGACACAGTGCTCCAGAAGAGGCCTCACCAAACGTCCTGTACAACCTCAACATGACGTCCCAACTCCTATACTCAAAGGTCTGAGCAATGAAGGTAAGTGTGCTAAATGCCTTCTTAACCCCCCTGTCTATATGTGACACAAACTTCAAAGAATTATGTACCTGAACCCCTAGGTCCCTCTGTTCTACAACACTACCCAAGGTCCTACTTTTCACTGTACAAGTCCTGCCCTTGTTTGTTTTACCAAAATGCAATACCTCACATTTATCCAAATTAAACTCCATCTGCCACTCCTCAGCCCATTGACCCAATTGATCAAGATCTCTTTGTAATCTTTGATAATCTTCTTCACTATCCATAAATACTTCTTGCCTTTATGTCCCTTCCCTCTGCTTGTCACTTGAATATTTAGTGACTTTGGGATGCTATTTACTGCGAAAAGTGATGCAAAGATTTATTCAACTCTTTTGCCATTTCCTGGTTGCCCAATATTAATTCCCCAACCTCATTCTCTATATTCACTTTGGTCTCTCTCTTTTCTTAATTTGTTAAAGGAATCCATTTTGAATAAAGCTCTTACCACCTGATTTTATGTTACTTAGCTCACTTGCCCTCAGTTTATTTTCTCCCTCTTAATTATGCTTTTGTTGGTTTTAAAGCTTTCTGTCTTGCTGCTAATCTTTGCCAAGTTGCATGTTTTCCTTTCAGTTTGATGTGATCCTTAACTTCCCTG